CATTTGACTCTTCTTTGTTTTCATAAGCCTCACCTGAGGATATTTTTCTATTTCTCTTCAGAAAGAGTGGGAGAGAAGGAGGAAGAGAGAGAGAAACATCGACATGAGAGAGAAACATCGACATGAGAAAGACACATCGACTGGCTGCCTCCCGCACGACCCCAACCAGAACTGGGGACGAACCGCAACCAAGGCACATGCTCTTGACCAGAATCAAACCCGCGACTCATGGGTCCGCAGGCTGATGCTCTAACCTCTGAGCCAAACCGGCCAGGGCAGTCATTTGACTTTTGGAGGACACAGAACAGCCTCCTGTAGAAGGAGAGTCGGCATCACAAGAGTCTGAACAGGTGACCCCACTGGACCTGAGTGCGTCACTCTGAGAGGCACGCGGGTCTTGTACACTAGTCGGAAAGAGGCGCGCGTCTCCCGGGGGGCGTGCTCCGTAAGGAAGGTGGAAGGAGAGGAGGGGAAGAAAGCTCAGGGCGCTGAGACCTCCCGTGTGAGGGGGTGGGGGTGGGAGTAGTGGGGACGAGTGAGACTTGGCCATGTCAGTGGAAGTAAAACGTCGAAGGGTCTTACACGGCATCGTGGCTGGTCCTCAAGAACAACGGCTTGTACAGAGGGATGGGACAGGGAACAGCAAGAGGAACGAACAGAATCAGGGGTGGCAGCCCCAGCAGGGAAACCAGGCGGCAAGGAGAGGGACAGGCCGTGGTCAAGAGGCCAGTTTCGCGGGGAGTGCGGTGGTGGTGACAAAAGGAGGTCGGGATGTGAGACAGATTAAGGGGTTACCGCCCTGGCCAGTTTGGCTCAGCGGTTAGAGCGTCAGCCTGCGCTCCAGAGAGACCCGGGTTCGGTTCCCGCTAGGGGCATGTACCTCGGTTGCAGTTTGTCCCCGGCCCTGGTTGGTCGTGTGGGTGGCAGCCACTCGATGTGTCCCTTCACGTCGATGTTTCTCTCTCTCTCTCCTTCCTCTCTCTCCCTCCCGCTCTATCTGTACAAAAAAATGGAAAAATATCCTCGGGTGAGGATAAAAAAAAAAAAGAAAGTCAATAACCTCTGGAGTGAAGAGAGGCCCCATGTTTGAGTGCTGTATGTCAATAACAGTGTTGTGTCACTGGTGGTCATGTTGATTAGTTGAAAAGAATAAAGGGAATAAAAATTTTAATAAAAAAAAAAAAAAAAAAAAGCCCTGGCCTGTTTGGCTCAGCGGTTAGAGCGTCGGCCTGTGGTCCAGAGAGACCCGGGTTCGGTTCCCGCTAAGGGCATGTACCTTGGTTGCAGTTTGTCCCCGGCCCTGGTTGGTCGTGCAGGTGGTAGCCACTCGATGTGTCCCTTTCACATTGATGTTTCTCTCTCTCTCTCTCTCTCCCTCCTGCTCTATTTGAACAAAGAATGAAAAAGTGTCCTCAGGTGAGGATAGATAAAAAAAAAAAAAAAAAAAGGTGTTACCTACAGAGATAAAATCATTTAACTTTTAAAAGTAGATACACTTTCCCTAAAGGAAAGTGTAGCAGGAGAAGTGTAAGGCGGTAGCCTGCAGGGCTGGCCTCAGGTGGAGGTGGTGGTATTGACAAGTGGGAGTTAGTGGCGATCTGTGACGAGACAGTACAATAAAAACCTGGCAAAGGAAGCTCCAGGGAAGAGCGAGCCACGTAAATACGCTCTAAATTAGTGTGCATTCAACCGTGTGCTCTGGCAGGTAAATTACAGCGATGCCCACTTGGGCAATAGCAGAGGTGGTGCAGTGTGCGTTACAAAGTGCTTTAAATGGATTACACGTATTCCTTAAATAGTACTTTCTAACAAACATGGCTTAGAAAATATGACTAAAACTTCTCTCCCAGTTTCTTTATTAATAAACTAGAAATCACTGTAAGTTAAAAAAGTTCCTTTCACAGGCGCCCTTTGCGGAAGGTGACCCGCAGGCAGCGCTGGCCTGCGGGGCTGGGCCCAGGTTCCAGGGAGTGCCGGGCCACCTTAGTCTAGGAGGCAGCGGCAGCACAGACTGAATTTAACACTCTGATTTCTGCTCCTTAAACAAAGATGAAACACAAAATTAAACAGTGATTCGGACTTTAAGAAATAACTCTTGAGAAATAAAATTAAATCCATTTCTTTTCCATTTAAAATTTCTCTTGGAGATCTATGCCAGGATGACTGTAGGAGGTGATGGTCAAAGTGTAAAAAACTTGTTTACTTCCAATAATGGCACCTAATAAAGGAAAGGCTGTGATGGAGAATGAAGGAAAGGAGAAGATCTTAATTTCTCAGTTTTGGCAATTTCAAATATTAATCACAGTAGGTACAGTTCCCATTTAAAAGGGTTTTAAAGAATGAATTTCAGAAACAAGGAAGTAAGAACAAAGAGGACTTATCTTCCCCCAAAGTGAAACTAAATTAGGATAACAAGTAAAAGGGTAAAAGGTGGGGGGTGGAGAACGAGATGTTCCCTAAATCTCCCTGTCATTCAAGCCCTCTGGGCTGTGAGTTGCAAAATCTGGTAAACCATTATGTACTTGATTTAAGAGTCATTATTTGAACCCCTACCTTTGTACAGAAGATCTGACAAGTGTATTCGTAGTTCTCAGCTCGACACTGAATCCAAACTCTTGGCCCAGGTAACTGGCCTCCGTATAGCACCACAGGCAAGGGAGAGGGGGAGGAGGCTGCATCCCTGACTGTGGGCCCTGGGGCTCTCCACAGACCTGGACAGTGCCTGGAAATCAACTGCTTGACCTGTCCTGTTTCACAGACGAAGAGGCGGAGGCCCAGAGAGAGAATGCTGTGTTCAATTCATCGCACATAAACGTCAGAGACGGGATTTCCACTCTATCATAACCCTTCTACTGCGCTGGAAAGGGTGTTTGGGGGAAGGAGGCCTCCAGGGTCCCCTCTCTCCAAAAACAAAGTGAATTGTGTTTGGATTAATATACTCCTTTTAGGGGGACACACAATCACATTGCCTCTATAGAGTCGCACCTCACATCCAGATAGATGTGACTTCAAATTCCAAGACCAGATTCTCACACATTAAACTGAGTTTATAAAAGCCCCAGTGGGAGGCAATACAATATTCCAGCCCTTGCACAGAATGTTTACTTTAGACTCAGGATAATTTGTCACATGTATTTCCTAATTACAGTTGTCACTCATACACAGAGATCTTTGATAAGAAGGCTGGGAAGAGGCATGTAGAGGCTTTAGGTTAACACTGGATTCTCGCCCTGGCTGGTTTGGCTCAGCAGTTAGAGCGTTAGCCTGCGGTACAGAGAGACCCGGGTTCGGTTCCTGCTAAGGGCACGTACCTCGGTTGCAGTTTGTCCCCGGCCCTGGTTGGTCGTGCGGGTGGCAACCACTCGATGTGTCCCTTCACGTGGATGTTTCTCTCTCTCTCTCTTCCTCTCTCTCCCTCCCGCTCTGTCTGAACAAAAAATGCAAAAATGTCCTCGGGTGAGGATTAAAAAAAACCAAAAAAAAAAACCCACTGGATTCTCTGGCAAAAGTGAAGAAGAGAGGGCCTCATTAAGAGAACAATGCAAAATAGTGTTTCCTAGGATGCCACCTATGTTGGAGCTTCAGAGTCACAGAAAATAATGTGTTTCTGTCAGTCTTGTCTAGAAAAGGCTGACCTTATGGTTAGTATTCCAGTTCACAGTGGTATTTCACTTTTTTTTTTTTTTACTTTTTATTTTTTGCAGATAGAGTGGGAGGGAGAGAGAGAAACATCGATGTGAAAGGGACACATCGAGTGGCTGCCACCCGCACAACCCAACCAGGGTCAGGGACAAACTGCAACCAAGGCATGTGCCCTTAGTGGGAACTGAACCCGGGTCTCTCTGTACGGCAAGAAGTATTTCACTTCTTGGTTTATCTTGCCTTTTGTTATTATTTTTAATCACTATTTATTACTCTTATGCTTCCGTCTTGTGGGCAAGATATGGAAAGAATTGAGAGTTGTAGTGATCCAAGGTTTGGAAACATTGGATACAGCCAGGAAGTTATCTCTCAGAAATATGCCTGCTGTCCGCATCTTTGTCATCAGAAGTTTTAGTCTCTATACCTGCTAGTGGGATACTCTGCTGCTATCCAAAATACCCAACACAGGCATCAAAGAAAAGGCAAACCAAAGCATAATTGAAAACCAATCGTTTACAGTAAAATAATCACAATGTATAATATGCACCTATGACTGTTTTGTACAGTTTGTGCCATTATCCAAAAAGGTGTGAGGTCCTTGGAACAACTATTTTCCTTGTAGTTACTATTTCCTCTGTAGGCTCTAGCCAAGGGTTTTGTATGTTTAGTAAGAATTCAATCACTGTTTCTTGAATAAATTACATGGTTTAGTATAAATTTGTTAAGGAATAGGTGAAGGAGAGGAAGTTATTTATACAAGATAGTTGCTTTAATCAAATCAAAACTAGATTAGTCTAGTGCAATGGTTCTCACCCTTCCTAATGCAGCGACCCTTTAATACAGTTCCTCATGTTGTCTGTGGGCATACCTACATGTGGGCGGACCCATCTGGAGAGGATAGAGGAGACGTGTCTCGGCTCCTAAGACCATCGGAAATATGTGTTTTCCGATGGTCTTAGGCGACCCCTGTGAAAGTGTGGTTCGACCCCCAAAGGGGTTGCGACCCGCAGGTTGAGAACCCCTGGTCCAGTGGACGTAGGCTAGATACTGGTGGCAGTTCATTCTGGACAGGCAGGAAAGATGGCCAGCGTTCTCTCGCAGCTCACTGGGTGGCAATGCCACCCTCCAGCTCCTCCCCACGGTAACAGAGAGGACCAGGCACCACGCAGAGGTTAGGCCTTCATCCATTTCAGCCTCGGCCCTCTGAAGGACTGGTGAGCGGGAGGAAGGTGGCACGGGTACAGGGATGAAAGTCGTTTCAGATTCTCTCCTGACTCCCTCTCCGCCCTCTCCCACCACTCCGCCCTTCAACCCTGATGATGTGCTGTGAGCACCCACCTCTAAGGGCTCCAACTTACTTGGCAGCAGCATCTTTTCTCAGCTGCTCGTGCTTCATGAGGAGATTCTTCCGGTCCCGGAAAGCTTTCCTGACCTTGTAGCCCTTGTAGACGGCCTGGATGGTGAAGGCCGCGATGTCCTGGATGGCGGCGATGGACAGGGCGCCGCGCTCCAGCATGAACTGGATCACCTCGTGGCGCTCGCCCAGCAGCGCATAATCCAGGGGGGTGTACCTGGAGCAGGGAGAGTTTGCGACGCGTGGGAAGCAACTCATGCACAGCTACACTGGCCGTACACGCAGGAGAAGGCGAGGTCAGGCTCAGATGCGGGGCGTTCCTCGGGCAAAGCTATCTCCCGCACAGGGCCGCTGCTTCTCCTCTCCGGGGGCACAAAGCAAGGGAGACACTGGGGTCAGGGGCTCTGTGCTGGGTCAGTTCCTGGGTTCTGCTCATTGGCTCACAGACTGGGGACTGTGAGAACATGATCACTTTTCCCCTTTCCCATGTTCCAAATAATTCCTTGCTCCTATCTGAAAAAGTACTGCAAAATATTCTGTGAGATTCACAATAACTGAGAGTTAATGTTTATGAAATAAAAAATATACCTCCAAATGGAGACATTTAGTATATGATAAGGATGGCCTGTTAGCTGGAGAAAGGATGAATTATTAAATAGTGCTGGAACAACTGGGTAGACATCTGGGAAAAAAAAATACTCTTATGTCACATTTTACTCCAAAATAAATTCTGAATGAAGCAAAGAGCTAAATATATACATATTTAAAAGAAATCATGAATGTACTAGAAGAAATCATGGAAGATTAAAAAAAGACTTTGCAGCCCTGGCCTGTTTGGTTCAGCGGTTAGAGCGTCGGCCTGCGGTCCGGAGAGACCCGGGTTCGGTTCCCGCTAAGGGCACGTACTTCGGTTGCAGTTTATCCCCGGCCCTGGTTGGTCGTGCGGGTGGCGGCCACTCGATGTGTCCCTTTCACATCGATGTTTCCCTCTCTCTCTCTTCCTCTCTCTCCCTCCCACTCTGTCTGTACAAAAAATGGAAAAATATCCTTGGGTGAGGATAAAAAAAAAAAAAAAAAAAAAATAAAAAAAACTTTGCAGGGCAAAGACAAAGGTGAAAGGGTTCCCGTAACAGGAAATATAAATGCCTCCTAAACATATATCCAATTGCATGAATTTAAGAGAAATACAAATTAAGATCCATATGAAAGAGCACTTTAATAATTAGATTCGCAAAGATCAGAGAGTTTAAGAACATAGAGTGCAGGCCAGGATGCAGGGAGACGCCTCTCTTCTCTCACATGCCACCTTCATCTTGAGCGAGAAACATTCGGCACATCTATAAAAATTATTCATGCATCTGCCTTTCAATATAGCCACGTCACTTACAGGCATTTATCCTACAGACCTGCTCCCATTTGCGAAATGCTGTAAGTACCCCTTCAAAGAGCAGCAGCCTGGAAACCTCCAAGTCCATCAACAGCGGACTGGTTAAAGAAAGCACAGGCTGCCCATGCAATGAAGTCATCAGTAAATCGCAGCCATTACTGCAGTATACGAATAAGGCACAGTTAAAGGAACAATCTCCAGGATGTCTTGTTAAATGAAGCAAAAGAAAAAAGCAAGAAGCAGAAGAGTATTATGGTATGCTCCCTGTGTACCAAAAAGAATATATCCTTGTTCGTTCACCTATATTCAATGTATTTCCGGAAGTTTCCCAACACTGGTGACATGTCTCAGAGGCAAGGCGAGGAGGGACATTTAGTTTCCACTCAATGTCCTTTGCTGCCTTTTAAAATGTGTACAGTGGATGTAGAGCCCCTTTTTGAGAAATGTATTATTTAGAAAGGATAGATATCACTGTCATGTAGTTAATATGTTTAAATTTCAACTGGCTCTTTCTAATTGTGTGATTTTAGGCAAATTCCTTTTAAAAAACATACTGTCCATTTTTTTTGAAATATAAAATAAATCATATAAGTACACAGAAGAAAAGAAATAATCTATATTACCACCCTCACAATTAAACATTGCTAATATCCTGGCATACAGGTTTTCCTTTTTTAAAGAAAAATATTACTTCTTAAAAATGACATTTAAGAATTCAAACAATGCAAAAAGTAAAAAAAAAAAGTCAAAACCCCAACCCCCAATTCCACCATCCAGCAATGTGCTAACTGTCACTGCTTGCACAACTCACTCGATGCTTCCAAGCCCCGGCCTTCCCCATCACGGACAAGGCACGGGGGAAAGGGAATACATGCAAAGACTGGCGTTGTACCTGCCACGAGGAAGGAGTTCACACGTGTTGGCCATCGCTGTTTTTATTACAGGACACACGCTGCAGTATGGTTTGTGATGCCACAGTCACTTACCAGAAATATTATTTCCATTGGACCTAAACTGGTATTTATAAACTAGTATTTACAACCACCTAACGGCTGCCACTAATCCAATTCCTCCCTGAGTGACTGTTACTAATTCAATGCAGTAAGAGATGTTAGGAGGAAATAATCAGCTGATTTCTGAGGTGGAATAAATGATGATTATATGGATACAATTTAGACACAGAAAATCATCCAATGATTATAGGGAAAAAAATGATCTCCCTTCAAAATTCACCTAACAGATACAGTAAGCCATAACAAGACGAGGCTTTCAGTGTAAGCAAAGAGTTATTTGGTTACTTCAGTAAAAAACTCTGAACTCAGACGGAAGCCCCAAATGCTAAAATCAAGGAACCTTCATTTAAGGACAGTTCAGTTTGCTGCTACTGTTCAGGGACCTGAAGGCCATAAGTAGAGGTGCCTATACAAACTTTAGAACATTATTCATAAGTAGTTAGCATTTTTTAAATTCAGAAGAACTTAAAAAATTAACTACATATTCATTGGAAAAGATTATCACACAAGTAGAGTTCAATTAAATTTTAGAGGACATTTAGTGTAATAAAATGAATAAACAAACCCAGAAAAATTAAGCAACTTGCTGAAAGTTAGATAACTAGTTACCTGCAGAATCTAGACGGGAACTAAGATCAAGTGACTCCCTAGTCAATAATATTTCTACAACACACCTATCACTGATTGAGCATAAGTGTCTTATAGATTGAAACTTCTAAAATCAACGTGCAATAGTAAGCTTGACAATTTCTTCTATAGTTAAAATGTAGTGCCTTTCACATAGTATACAAGCAGGAATATAAAAATCTGGTTTATGAAAGTAAGGCCTGATCTGTGTCTTTACTTACAAATACGACAAAAGGAAACGAGAGGTACATAATATACCCTGAAGAACGCTGGCTGAACTGGGCGTCAGCAGGCCTGTGGGACCCTGGGTATTCTCTTCACTTCTCTGAGCTTTCTTCTCATTTGTAAAAGGTGAAAGGAAGGTGGGAAGAATAACTAGATCTCTCTGGCTGTTTATGAATGGAAATTGCATTTTAAATGTCTTTAATATTTTTATTATGAAAAAATTGTATTTCATTAGGAGAGATTTCAAACATAAACAAAAATAGAGAGTATAACACCATAATGTTTTACACACTCATCATCCAAATGTAACAATTAGCAAGCTCTTTGCCACATTTGCTTCATGCAAGCCCTTCCTTTTTACTTTTGCTAAAGTATTTTAAAGCAAACCCTATCATTTCATCTCCCAGCATTTCAGTATTCATCTATAAATAACATAAACGTAACCGCAATGTCGTGATTGTACTAACAAAATAAGCAGGAACTTTTCAGTAAGATACAAGTGCCCACTCCAAATTCAAATTCCCCCCAATTTTCTCAAAAATGTCTTTTTATCCCCCAACTGGTTTATTTAGGATTCTCCGTCAATTTTTGATCAAAGAAACACAATCCAAATATCTAGCAAGGTTTTAAGATTGAAGTCTATACCTAGAGTTCAAGCAACTGACCATATTGTGATTATTACTATTGAATCTTTCTTCACCCCCAATTCAATTTAGAAGCATTCATGTGCTGTGAATATTCCCATCGATGTCAGAGTGTGGCTGTCAGATACTTATTGACTGAAAGCCAGCAGGAGCTGGCAAAAATTCTGTCTATGCAATGCACATCAAGGGGTTAGTGTCAACGCATGAGAAGTGAAAATCAGCGGTACATTGATGGTAACCAGTCAAGAAACAATGTAGATAAAGACAAGAGACAAGATACAATTGGACCTGCCAAGTGGGAATGGTCTGATGGGATGAGCAGAATGCCTAAACTGGAATGCCAATAAACATAAAAGGCAGTGCCAAGTCTTGACATTTGTACATCAAGGTGTATCGCTGATGAAACATTAAAGGGGCCTGGAATAATGCTACTGTCCCTTTTCATCTATAGATTGGCAAGTACAGTTAGGCGGATTTTTCCTTGGGTCTTTTGGTCTGTAGTTAACATACGTTTTCTCCAGGAGGCAGGAAGCACCTTAATTCACAGGTTTCCTGAGGTCTAAAATTCAATGCTTCACATATGAATGGGAACTGAATTGCAAACAAAATATTTTTTTACTTTTTCCTGAAATATAATAGTCATGTGGTAAACACTGTACTAGAATAAATGCTTTATAGAAATAAATCATTACTAATTCTTAGGATTCTTAACCTCCCCTGCCCCCCCCGTTTTTAGGGTTTCAGCTCCCTCAGAGCTGCTTTCATGTCGCAAGCTCGGCCTTGAGGATTCCACTCAAGCTGGCTTTCCAGCTTCCTTAAATGTCCAGCCCCCTAAATCTTCAAATCTTTTCTGTTTTGCAGTTGTCATATGACTATAATAGAGTTCTTTATATAATTGCTCCTAAAGTAAGACATATTAGTCTGCTTTACCTAATTCTGTGGGTGCTCGAAGAATTCCAGAAGTTCTAAGAGCCTGGCAACACTGATGGACAATGCAGCAGCAATTTACTGAGCACCCACTTCATCAAAAGCACTGCAAGCAATACAGAGATGACCGTGATCTTCAGGAGTTCTCTGCTAACAGGGAAGCCAGATTACCTCAAATTACAATATAAAGTGGAATGTGCCAAGTGCTGTACAAGTACACAGTAGGGGAAGACGAAGTTTGAGATGCATGACTGTGGGGTCTGAACAATCTCCTTAGATGAGACGGCATTTGAACAGAGGAATGACACGATTAACAGTTACATTAGAGATATGATTTCGCAAGGCTACTTTGGAAGTAGGTGCATTAAATTAGGAAGAGATCAAGGGAGGGAAAACAGCAAGGAAACATTGTGCTAGTCCCAGAAAGAGTCAGAGAGAGCGTGATTAGGCAGTGCTGCGGGTGATGAAGAGAAGATGACAGTGTGAAGCAAGGAGATACTGAGCCTGAAACAGCTTTAGAATTCACCGGACCCGGGTGACTGCTGAAGCCTCAGCGGTAGGTCAGATCGCCAAAGGAGACAGGCTGAGAGAAGAGATCCGGTCCTTGCAGAATGTTTATATTTAAAAAATAAAAAACAGAAGAGGGGCCAAGAAGAAATGGAGAAGGCACCAGACATGATCAGAAGGAAATCAGGAAAATACAGTCACAGAGGCTTAGGGAAGACAGAATCTCAATAAGGTAAAGAAGAGGAGGCAACAGAACCAGGATGCAGAAAGGCCAATGAGAGTGGACAGAGAAGACAACATATGATTTCTCAACCAGCAATTTGTCAGTGACCGTTCAGACACAGGTGTCAGTAGACGTGAGGAGGGAAGCCAGCCTGCAAAGGCACAAGTGGTGAGGATGAAGGAATGGAGGCAGTGAAGACCGTCTGAGAGAAGGAAGACGTTAGAGGCAGAGAAGACGCACTTCAGAACAAAGAGATGGAAAATGATGAATGGAGGATACAACTAATGGGGAAAGGTTCTGGAAGAGGTGGAGACAATGAAGGGGTGGGCTCAGAGAGGAGGAGCATGTTTCTGCTGAGACAGTTGCCCCAGAGAAAGTCCTTCCTTCTCCTCAAAGCTTCCGTGACAGAAAGAAAGAACTGGTGGTGTGGCTAGGAGGGTGGGGACGATGTCATAGCATGGGCCACTTCACTGACAGCACCCACAAACAATGAATCTAAAGCACAGACCTCAGCTGGGGGAAGTTCAGGTATGGAAGGCAGATTACAAACTTAGTTGTTACCTACAGATTCCGAGACCCTTCCTAGATCCAACACCATCAAGAATCTCTCTGCTTAGACTTCACGCTGTGTCTGGTCCTTTTATTTAGGCCTGGGTCCTTGGGGAACAACCCCAGCCTAACTCTGTGGATCTCGTCTCATTCAGGAAATCTGTATTGAGACTAAAATCCTGAACTTTCAGATTAGCTTCTCATTTTTTCATGCTGCATGGTGGCACCTTGTCCACTGATAACATCCTTCCATCAAGGGAACTTCTTGAATTTATAACACATGCCACTGGCCTAACTGAATTCCTAGTCCTGGTCAGTCAGGACCTCCTGACTTTATGCTAGCCACAAGCCAGAAGAAGGCATATGAGTTTCTTCATCTATAAAATGTGAGCTTACCCTAGGTAAGAGCTAATGTTCCGAATAACTTTAAAATCTCAAGATTCTAAGCTGATATTGCATGGAACTTTTTCTTTCTTTCTTTCTATTTTTTTTCTGGTTCAGAATTTCTTAATGTAGCGTTTTCTTATGAGTAAACTTATTATTTCTGAACCAGTATCTAAACTTGAGATTTTTTTAGTCTGGAAGAAAGGATGAGATAAGAACAACAATGCATTCTTTTTGCCAACAGCTTACTCACCTCTCTTCATTGTTTTCCATCTGATTAGGAAAAGCAGCAAAGTCTAGCAGCAATTTAATGGCATCAAGGTATCCGTTGTTACAAGACCAGTGCAAAGCTGTTCTTCCCTACAAGCAGGAGCAAAAATCAAGGACAGCTGGAGTAGGTATTTTTGGACACATAGTTATTTATGATTACTCAAAAAATAAACAATTCTCTCCCCAGGAAAATATTAAATACACAGTGGAGAAAAAGAAGTTATCTCAACCAAGTAACCAAATTAGCACTCTGTCAAGGGCATTATGTGCATCCAGAGGTGATACCCTGAGAAGGATTCAATATCACTTACATAATTTCCCAACCCAAAGTGTAAAACTTGAATCTAATTTTGAGGAATCATAAGTAAACCCAAACTGAGTGAAATAAAATAAATGGCCTGCAATCTCAAAATATTTCAATGTTATAACAGATAAAGAAGTCCTGAAGCATTGCTAGAGATAAGGAGGGGCATTTCACAGTGTTAAAGCAGTCAAAGAAGATATCACAGTCCTAAACACGTATGTACCTAATAACATAGCTTCTAAATATATCGGCTGAAATCGACAAAATTAAAAGGGGAGATATTAAATCCATAATCACAGTGGGAGATTTTTAACCTATGTTTTACAATAGCTGATATATATATATATATATTAAAATTAGATCCTAGTGGGGTTTACTCCAGAAATGAAAGGATAGTCTAACATCTGAAAAAACAGTGCAATCGATATAATTCACCATATTAACAGCAAAGAAGAGAAAAATAATATGATCATGTTGATAGATGCTGAAATAGCATGACAAAAATTAAACAGCTAACTGTGATTTTAAAAAACTCTTTACAACTAGAAATATAAGGGAACCAAAGCAAATATCATATTCAATGGTAAAATATTTAAAGCTTTCTCCTTGAGAAGCCAGAGTGAGTTAATAATGTCAACTGTCACCAATTCTAGTCAGCACTGTACTGGAGGTCCTGGCTGGCTCAGTACGGTGAGACAAATGAAAGTGTAAGGACCGGAAAGGAAGAGAGAGAAATGTTATTATTCACAGACAGTATGATTGTTTACGTAGATAATCCAAAACAATACACATAAAAACAGAACTGGAAAGTAGATTAATATAGTACTGATGTAAGAAACTGGAAACTTGTAAAAAAAAAAAAGTAAAAGTTATAGCAAATTATAAAAGATATATTTCTAAAAACATAGGTGCAAGGACCATATTTATATATTTTCATTAATTTAATTTTATATAGCAACAATCTTGATAAATATTTATTGAAAGAAGTAACAGGAAATAGACTTTCTGACTTGGAAAACATAATATGCTAGGATTTTTAAGGAGTTAAAGTAATTAAAGTAGCAAAAAGTCAATATTGGCTAAATTGAGAGAAAGTAATATATTACTACACAGCTGGGGAAGCATAAATTAACCCACATGTTTTAAAAATCACTTCAACAGTATATATCAGAGCATAATCACATTCATATACCATTCCTTCTTTGATTCAATAATATCACTTAGGGAAAATTATTCCAAGGGAATAATCTAAAATAAAAAATGTTACATACACAAAGATGATTAATGTAACATGATCTGTAATAAAGAGAATGTGACTAGCAACAGAAAGTTACTTATTTAACTCTAAAATTTGGATGACAGGCATAGTTTGGACCCTGACTCCCTCCAACCTGCCATTGTTGTCACCTTAGGGTAATTATTTAAGTGCTACGAGCTTCAGTTTCTTCATCTGTGAAATGAGGACTATAATTGTGACTACTTTATAGAGTTGTTATGAGAACTGAGAGAGTTGTTAAACATAAAGCTCTCAGAACTCTGGAATATTAAACATCCATGATTATGAAAAAGATTATAAACCAAATGAGAAAATATTGGTGATAATTTTTTTTAAACATATTTTTTCCCTTTATTGATTTTAGAGAGAGAGGAAGTGAGAGGGAGAGAAAGAAAGAAACATCTGTTGGCTGCCTCCTGCACGCCCCCCACTGCGGATCGGGCCCACAACCTGGGCATGTGCCCTGACCGGGAATGGAACCGGCGACCTCTTAGTGCATGGGTCAATGCTCAACCACTAAGCCACACCGGCCGGACATATTGGTGATAATTTTAAGTGAACAAAACAAAATGTGGTTTATAAAATCACATCATATATATTTATATATACATATTCATATGCCATGCACATATATTTTACAAAAGTTATAAAATTATTCCCATTTTATATTTTGACTTTGTTAAACTATATAGATACATAGGCAAGGACTTGAAGAGAACATGGATAAATTAAAAATCATTTTTAATGAACAGATTTCTAGGGGATCTGTTCATTTGGCAGATTTTAATTTCAGTGAACAAAGAAAAAATACTCTAAGCACGTGGAGCAAGCTCTATAAAGAAGACCCGGAACTTCTACCTCTTTGTCTTGAATGTTAGGGTCTGCATTGTTTTCCATGAGCACTGCCATGCAGTTGATGTACCCCCCATATGCAGCACACTGCAAAGGGGTTCTTCCTGCGTAATCTTGCACATTTGGATTGATCTTATTTTCTATCAATATCTGGCAAACATCAGCATTTCCTCCCAGCGCTGCCCAATGGAGAAGAGAATGTCCATCTTGGTCAACTAGATCTACCCTTGCTCCACCTGGAAAAGCAAGAATATAATGAAAATGACTAGTATAGAGAGAAACAGTCCCTTAAATGCTTTACGCTTAACAAGAACGCTTCCAAGTGCATTATCTACTCCAGACTTTTATAATAAGCCTGTACGTTGGTCAGGGTAGGCATCATTTCCCTTTCACAGAAAAAGACAAACCAGGATCAGGCAGGTGGTGACTTTGCCTAAATCACACAACCACCAACAGGTGGAGCTAGGCCCTTGCGTTTCCTAATGCCCCGCGGGCACTCTTGACCTCCGTCCCTGTACCCAGGTTGCTCTGCTGTGTGAGGCTGTATTTCAAATGGTGAAGGCAAGATTTCCTACCTTTTGAGAGTGACTTATTAGGAGCACTCTTAATAACCAACCTTTAATAAGTGTCTGAATCACATCTTTGTGTCCCATCTCACAGGCTCGGAAAAGTGGAGTATGTTTCATGACATCAGTAGCATCTACTTGAGCATTATTTTCCAGTAATAACTTCACGGTGCTGACATGGCCAGAGAGGGCAGCAGCATGTAAAGCTGAAAAGGGAGCAAGAGAAAGTGGTGAAGTCTTTAATGACAACTTTACCCCTTTATTATTCTAACTATGTATCTTTCCCTCTTTTGATTTCCTCATCATTTTGTCTAAATGCAATCTGATCTTAAGAATTCCCTATTTTTCACTTTTGTAGATTTCTATCTTCCTTTCTATTAACATGTATTACTCACACTTTCCCCTTTTCCTTCTGCCTTTCCCTTCTCATTATTTTCCTCCTTTCCATCCTGTTGGTCTGGAATGGTCCCCTCTTCTCAGTTGCTAGTTTACTATCTTTTCCTCTTTCTGAGAGAGCAAGAGAACAACAACAAAGACAATTAAATGGTGCAGGCAATGCCCGGCCGGTGTGGCTCAGTGGTTGAGCGTTGGACCCATGCACCAAGAGGTTGCCGGTTCGATTCCCGGTCAGGGCACATGCCCAGGTTGTGGGCCAAATCCTCAGTGGGGGGCATGCAGGAGGCAGCCAATCGATGTTCTCTTTCATCGACGTTTCTACCTCTCTCTCCCTTCCTGTCTCTCTAAAAAATAAAATGAAGCCCTGGCCAGTTTGGCTCAGCGGTTAGAGCATCAGCCCCAGACCAGAGAATTCCGGGTTTGGTTCATGCTAAGGGCACGTATCTTGGCCCTGGTTGGGGTCGTGTGGGTGGCAACCAGTTGATATGTCTCTCTCACATCAATGTTTCTCTCTCTCTTCCCCCCTCTCTCCCTCCTGCTATCTGAAGATAAATGCAAAACAAAACAAAACAAAATAAAATAAAACAAAAAAAGCTGTAAAAAATAAAATAGCCCTGGCTGGTTTGGCTCAGCGGTTGGAGCGTCAGCCTGTGATCCAGACAGACCCAGGTTCGGTTCCTGCTAAGGGCACGTACCTCGGTTGCAGTTTGTCCCCGGCCCTGGTTGGGTCATGCAGGAGGCAGCCACTTGATGTGTCCCTGTCACATCGATGTCTCTCTCTCTCTCTCTCTCTCTCTCTCTCTCCCCCCCCCCCTTCCCTCCCTCCCTCTCACTCTATCTGAACAAAAAATGGGAAAATGTCCTCGGGTGAGGATTAAATAAATAAATAAATAAATAAATAAATAAAATATAAAAATAAAATAAATGGTGCAGACAATACTTCCCACCAACGCACTCAATAAACATATGCCCGAGGGATGGTGTGACAGGAGACATCAATTGCTCCTTCAGTGGGTTACACGAGCTAGTCCTGTGTTGGTCTGTGTTCCCATGTGCTACCGAGACACTGCACATCTTACTACATTGAGAGCATTTTTCACACAACATGGCTCCAGAGGCACATCAGCAATTTCCGCAGGGCCCCATTTATGAAGCAGCAATTCATTTCCACATCGGAGTAAACACTGAGCTGGGATGTGGTCTCTTCTCTGGTGCTTTTGGAAGGGGTCTGGAAGACTGACCGTGACCACGTGTTTCATGTTGCACTGACCCCCGCCTATGGTTACTGTACTCTAGTGCTTGTCTCATGCCACCATGCTTCAGGTTACTCTTTAAATTCTATTTCAAGTCACTTTTTAAATGCTGCTGAATTTGTCTGGATAACTATCTAGAGGCCTGGGCCAATTCTTTCTAAGTATTATGGCTCTACAGTACCTACAACAATGTTTTTTTCATGAAGTGTGACCCATGAATCAGAACCTAGGATGCCTATAAAATTGTAGATTCCTGGAGATTTGTTGAAAAACCTACTATGGGCTGGGTATTAATAAAATGATGGACATTCATCAGGGAACATGCTAATAGGGGAAGTAAAACAAACAAACAAACAACCCATCCCCAAATATATAATCAAAAAGTATTAGATACAGATGAACGGTATAATTAAAGTAATAAGTATAAAAGGCATTTTGATTTAAAGAGATTGGGGGAGTACTTTTGATTTGTGGTTAGGGAAAGCCTTGCTAAGGCGCTGGCATTTCAGATGAGACCTGAATTATGGAAGAGAGAAATGTGCAATCTGGAGAGACAGCAGCTTGGGCAGAGGGGACGGTCAGGACAGGACAGGAATGATGTGTTTGGGGAAGGCAAGGAAGCTGCAGCACAACAGGTAGAAGAGGCCTGACCATAAATGGCCATGCAGGTCAGGGTGTTAGAAGACACTGCAGGGCTTTGAATAGGTGAGTGATATTGTCTCATTTATGGTTTAAACAGAACACTAGCTGTTCTGAAGAAAATGCACTGTGGTGGATTAGAATATAAGCAGGAAGACCAGTTGAAATGGCTTTACTGGGGTGGCAGGAGTGGAGACGAGAAGTAAAAGATTTGAATATAGTTAGGAAGTGGAGTCAACAGGACTTGTTGACAGGATTTGAAATAGGATCTCTGTCCCTATAGTCTGGAAACCTGCACTTTGACAAACAGCCCTACTAATTACTATACATACTTGAGTTTGAGAACTTTGACCTAAAATGTATAAATGTTGGTGTGGCCTAGACAAGATTCAGACTAGCGTGAGAAATTTCACATATCCAAAGTGCTGTCATGTGGACAATAGCACAGAGTGGAATATTTAGGTTGACAAATTTTGGCTCAGTGTAGGAGAACATTCTAGACGAGTTAGGTTAAGAGGGCAGCAGTGGGTTCCCTATGTTGGAGCTGTTCAAACAGAGGCTGAAAGACCACTACTGAAGAATGATATAATGCAGATGAGAGCATGACATACCTTGATATTTCAGTTATTTTCACATTTTAAGAGCATAAGAATATTTTTCTTCCAAATGAAATGTTAGAAAACACTCAACATATAAAACGGATTACACTTGTTCTGCTAAAACAGGGGTAGAGGGTTATCCATCCACAACCTCAGCTCCCTTCTGGTACCTCTATAGAAACCTGTTGTTCTGAAGAACATGGTTGGAAAACCCTGGACTGGATCTGATTTTAAGGTACGTTCTAATTCTGAAATCCTATAATTCTATGATACGGCATCAGGTTGCAAAAAATACTCTTCAGATAAACATCAGTGTCAAATAAAAGAACAGATACGATGTCAATTAAGTAAAAGACAGAACAATGCCTTATTAAAGGAAATTCCCCATTTCTGAGTATCTGGATTTACTTTATTTGAAAATAACCTTAGCCTTCACTATTGTTGCTTCCTCTCTGAAAAAGTGCCACAAGTTTACATAAAAGTGCTATTTTTAAAAATTTAAATTTTTGTTGTTGAAAATTTTAAACATATTCAAAAGTAAAGACAGTAGTCCAGTAACTTAATATAGCCACCACCCAGCTTCGGCAACTATCAGCACACAGCTAATCTCGCTCCCTCTGCCATCGATCCCCTTCACTTCTGATTGTTTGTTATTAAAATTCTAGAGTCATAACCTTCCATTTGTAAATATTTTAGTAGGTATATCGAAAAGATGTGGGGTTTTTTTTGTTTGTCTTTTTAAAGAAACACAACCAGTATATTAGTCAGGGTCCATTTAGGGAACAGAAACCATGCTAGACACTTTAACAGAGAAAATGCGGTATAAAGAATTATCGGCTATGTACTGCAGAACTGCAAAAGCCCAAAGGGAAGACTAAGGTATTACAGAGGTAGTAAATGCAGAAACCAGCTACAGATTCTATGATTGGGGGAACAAGAACAGGAGGATTGAATTATTAAAACTTAGAAAGCTTAGAGGAGGAGCCCTGCAGAACCGACACAGACGTCTGAGGAGAGGCTCTGCGTGGCTGGCTGGGGCTGGAGTCTGAGGAGCGTGCTGAGGGTACTCTGTGGCTGGCACTGTGAGTGATGGAAAACTGCAGAGTGAACTTCATGTTGCCACTGGAACCAAGTATCACTGCTCTGTTGATGAAGACTTACTACAGTGATGTCCACAGCAACAGGACACAAAAACAATAGCAAGCAAATAGGAAGATGTAATCCCTGGTTGCTTAACCAGCTTTCCAGTCTCCCTCTACTGCCCCCTATGGGCTGATTCTAACAGGGCACCTGCTGGCAAAGGGGAAATGTGTTTTGCAGAGCCCCAGCCCCAGCATTCCAAAGAAAGGTAGTCCCATTATCATACCTAAAAATATTAACAAAAATTCTCTAATATCAAATATCCAGGTAGTATTCATATTATCTTGATAGCTTTATAATTTTTATAGTTTATTTGAATCAAGATCCAAACAATGTCTATATACTGTGGTTGATAAGAACTCTTTTCTTATATGTTATGTTATGTTATGTTATGTTATATTATGTTATGTTATGTTATATTATGTTATTTTTTATCCTCACCCGAGGACATTTTTTCATTTTTTGTTCAGATAGAGCGGGAGGGAGAGAGAGGAAGAGAGAGAGAGAAACATTGACGTGAAAGGGATACATCAAGTGGCTGCCACCCACACGACCCAACCAGGGCCGGGGACAAACTGCAACTGAGGTACGCGTGCCCTTAGCGGGAACCGAACCAGGGTCTCTTGGGACCGCAGGCCGACGCTCTAACTGCTGAGCCAAACCAGCCAGGGCAAGAACTTTTTTTTTCTTTCAAATTTGAATCTACTGATTATTATTATTATTATTTTACTTTTTAATTATAGGTTAGAGCTCTTTTTCTCAACGGGGAGGATAAAACAACCCTGTAGAGGGATGATAAAGAGGAACTCACTTTCACAGACAAGAAATTTCAGGAAGCATCTCTGACATATAATAAAACCCTTAGGAGAAAGAGCCCAGGGAATTAATTAATCTGAGAATTTATGTCTGAACTCCAACCATGGTGCACATAAGAAAGTCACCTTTGGACAAAAGGATGCAAGTATTCTCACCTATACTTTATTAAAATACATAAAAAGTTAGACTAAAAGTGAGGCTAGTGATCAAATGAAAGTCTGCATACTAGTGGAAGTCAGACAGAAACTTAAACTGCATGTCCTACGTATCTGCTCTATACCTCTTTTTAAAAAAAGTTTTTTTCCCTTTATTGATTTTAGAGAGAGAGGAAGTGAGAGGGAGAGAGAGATGAGAGAGAATATTGACTGGACGCCTCCTGCATGCCCCCCACTGGGGATTTGGCCCACAACCTGGGCATGTGTCCTGACCGGGAATCGAACCGGTGACCTCTTAATGCATGGGTTGATGCTCAACCACTGAGCCACACCAGCAGGACTGCTCTATACCTCTTAAGAAGCTTAAGCTCTACCGTGAGTGAGGCTTTGTTAACAAATCATTTTTTTTAATTGAATCTGCACCTGAGGATACTTTTTTCCCATTGATCTTCAGACAGAGTGGGAGGGAGGGAAGGAGAGGGAGGAAAGGAAGGGGGGGAGAAAAGAGGGCGGTGAGAAAAGGGGGGGGGGAGAGAGAGAGAGAGAGAGAGAGAGAAACATTGATGTGAGAGAGACACATTGATTGGTTGCCTTCCACATGACCGGATTGAACCTGCGACTCTGGTCTGAGGGCTGACACTCTACCCACTGAGCAAAAACTGGTCAGGGCCCTAAAAACTCTTTAAAAAATAATTGTGAGGTGTGGTGGCTGGGGTTAGGGAAAGAGATTATTAGGTGTAGCCACTTCCCTCTCCACGCTTCCCCTCAGTGCTGATCAGTGGTTTTGGTGACAAAAGATCTTATCCAGGATAACAAGCAGATGTAAATGGCTCTGGTACGTATGTTCCTACAAATAAGAAAATATAACATTGAAAAGTCCTTAGCTGAGTGTTTATTCTATTGTGCTGTTTGTTATTGTTATTGTGCTGTTGTGTGATTTTTCTTTTTTTTGACCTGCATTTAGAATATAGTACACAAGAAAGAGACTCCCAGCTGACAATGAATGCTAAAACACTTGTACTTCTCTTATTAACCAACCCATAGTTAAAGGACTCTCTTAGTAGAGAAGAGATTGAAAGAAGCATTTAGTAAGAGCTTTTGGTGCAAAGCTGACTTGAAGCATTGTAGCTTCTGGAGTCATGGGAGGTTATCTCAAACGGAAGGATGAGGTAGTGCTGTTCAAACCTGAGAAAAGAGCCTATTAAACGAGTGGTGAGAACATTCTTGTATGTGTGAGGACACAGTGAGAGTATACTTTGATGTGTGCATTCCTTTACATAACTTTAACTTTTTGAAAATACAATTAGTAACTACTAAATATGCATAGTTTTAAAGTACAGGCTTATGCTTTTTTTACACTAAGGTAATCAGAAGAGTTCCCATAATCATGTCTAAGGAGCAACCAAGGTTTTAAACCAAATGCCACCATTCGCCTGGCAGAAACACAGGCTAATTTTAGCCATAATGCTTGGGGGAAACAAGGCCTTTGAGTGATATCCTGGCAACCTGAACTGAAACAGCGAGGATGAAAGTCAAACCACATTAGATCGGTAACAGTGCTTTAAAGGTGCTATTGTACACGTTTTATAGCATCAGCTACACTTTGGAGCCTGAATGAAAGCAAATCAATTATGTCCCAGTTCTTACCTGTCCCTCCGTACTTATCTGCCATGTTGATATCAATGTCAGATTTTAAACTCAGCATAGTCCTGAGGACATCATCACTGCCTTTCCCGGCGGCCCACATAAAGGATGTTCTTCCTTCCAGGTCTGAATCATCTTTCACTGAAGGATGTTTTAAAAAGACTTTGACTGTTTCCTGTAAGAAGACTTCATTTAAAAATTTGAGACAAGAGAGTGGTATTTTTTATGGTAACAAAGCCACTGTTATATGTGACTTTCACTAAGAAGCAAAGTATTTTTCCCCACTTTTGAATCAAATGAAATTATTGTAGGTTTTTTGGTTTGTGTTACTGTTTTTCAAAAAGAAAACCAAAACCTCTTATAAATTAATGAAGTCCAAAAAAATCAAGGGGCTTGAACTTGAGCTTAGAATTCTACATAATTATTTAAAAAATCATCTCTGGGATTGGCAGATTATCCAAAACAAGTATAAAACAAGAACATCCGTAATGTTCTACCATTCTTTCTTAGTCCCATTAACACTGCTACTTAATTACTGATATCAGTGCATATGTTAGATTTGGACTCTAAGATTTGAGGTCCAGATCTCGGGCAAGTAATTTAATCTCTTGGAACCCTGGCTTCTTTATCTGTTAATAGGGATAACATGACCTATCTCATAACATGTTGTCTTACAGTCTTGTTGAATCATGGACTGAGTTCTGGCTTTCACAGACTGACTAGAGTGGGCCAACTAATTTTCTTATCTATTTGTAATAAGAAAGAGATCCTCTTCGAAATCTACTTTGTATTTTTCTGAGATCTTGGAAGATAACAGAAGATAATAGTTTGCTAAAACTGTAGGTGATAAATAAATGTTTAGGAATGCCAGGAAGAAAGGACTGTAGCTATAGTTCTGTGAATACCACAGAGAAAGAGGGATGGAAATAAGATATTTTAGCAATCTGAGTATTCAGTGCATTCGATGGTGCATTTGGGGAGGTCAGAAAGATAGAATTATACCATGCTGATGACAGTGTTCTTATAATTTAATGAAACCAAGGGCTTCACTATGCACGCCATGCAGAAGACATCAGAATCAACTGTGACTGCTCTAACGTGTGCCTCTCGGGACGAGTCTCTGGTCCTTGGTGGCCACTCAGGAAGCTGAAGCAGCCTCGACACTGTCATGCCCTGGCTGGACTGAGCTACAGAATGGACGAGAAAGTGCTCTGTAAATTATAACGGGTGGTGAGCGAAGAACTGTTAATATTACTCAATATCTTTGGAAATATCAATAATTCAGGTGATTGCTTTCTCAGATATATAATGTACATAATTACTAGTACTAGTAATAATAAGAATGCATTCTATTTCTTGAGTATGTGCTCAATGCCAAGACTACAGTAGGCACTTGTTATAAATTTTCTCGAATCCTTACAACAATCCTGAAAGAAAAGGTACAATCGTCATCATTTTACATACGAAGAAACGAAAACTCCAAGAGGTTAAGACACTGTGAGAGGTCGCACGGCTAGCGGATAGCATGGTCAGGGATGCAGCCACGGTTCATCTAGTTCCGGAGCTTTGCCACACTGCCTCCAGGACAACGGTAGACTACTGAACACTAAGTTGTCCTTAGAGCGATAAAAATAACAAAAAGCCGAAGGACACTTACAGGACAGCAAACATTACACGGAACACTTAAGAATGGTATATAACTTCACACGTGAGGAACAATTTTATAAAAGCTCAGACTACCACTTGCATTACCGAGGTAACAGTATGAATAACTGTTGAAAGACAACTGCTGTACAAACACCCACAAGTAAGCACATGTAAAAATGGTGAAATTTGAATAAGGCCAGTGGACTGTATCAATGTCAATTTCCTGTTTATGAGATTGTATTATATTTTTGCAAGATGTTACCATAGAGGCAGATGGGGCGAAAGGAACATGGAATCTCACTGTTTCATTTCTCACAACTGCATATGAATTTACAATCATGTCAACATTAAAATTTAATTAAGAAAAAAGACAACTGTCACGTTTTACTTACAGCAAAGTTACTCTGAGCTGCATAGTGCAAGGGGGTGGCTCCTTGGCTGTCGGATGGGATGGTTCCAGACTTATTTCTTTCTAAAAGGAGATGGACAATCTCTGCGTGGCCTGAAAGCAGACACAAGGTAGCTCTCACATACAAAGAACATTAATTAATTTATAATTTATTTAAAGGAAAGGGGTAAGAAAAATCACGAGCACATAATACAACATTGAAAATGGTTTTTGAGTAGCGGCCCTCAGTGCAGCCTCTTCTAACCTCTGATTAAAATACTAGATAATGTAGAACAAAGGCAAAACTACAGCTCTAAAAACTTAAATCTTCAATCAGGAAGGAAATGACATTAATTACTATTGCCAGATTGAGAAGAGAGAGTATTAGGGATCAGATTATTGCATTTTCACCTTATGAAACTGCCCCTAGTAGAGGTGGAAGGTGCCCGAGAAGCCCGCCCCACGCGGCCATCGATGCCCCTAGTCTCCGGGTTCCACTGAGCAACCATCCAAATTGCACGGCTGTTCTCTTCTACTGTTCAGGAGGACAGACTGTAGTACAATCTCCTGTAATCTCTGAGCCCTCCTATCCGTAAGCCTCTAACCTCCCTGCCCCAGTCTTTTAACATGTCAGCAAGGATTTCAAATCCCAGAAAACAAGGGGTGGAAATGATGAGGTGGTGGTGGGGAAAAAAATTCTGCAACGCATTCTGGAGGATATGGTCTCCATGGGTGAAGAACTGTAGAAAGGATCAAAGAATGAACAACCTGGTAGTACTGCACTTAGGAAACCTGAATTTCATAAATTCTCTTGCTTCGGCATACTGAAGAACTAGGCAGCGAAGAATATGCCACGTTAGCGGGGCAAGGATGTGCCGCAGGAATGCCAGGCAGAAAGGACTTGAGCGAGAGTTGTGCCCACCGACCTGCTCTCCAGCTACAGTTTGAGATGGACGTCTCCAGAGCACACACAAAGCAGGATCAAAGGCAATCTATGCGCCATGGTCAGTAGAAACACATCTTATCTTGTTTGAAGGCTAAAACACCATCAAAAAGATGAAGAGCATACCTCGGAAAGGGATCTAGAGAAGGATCCAGAGGAAAATTTCAGGAAACTGGCATCTTCGACTAAGTACAAAGAGCTGGCCTCTAGGAAACGAAACAGAATATCCTAAGAAGAAAACAGACTGAAATAAAAAGGTAATGGAAGGAGGTAAAAACGGAAACAGACAGAGATAAAAGGAAATATGGATGAGAGAAGGAAATCCAAATACAACCTGTAAGAGGCAGAAAAAAGGCAGAACTTACAGAACAAAAGTTAATTTAGTGATCTGGAGACAGATTTGTGAAGTCCTCCCATAACACAGATAAAAAGGATGAAACTGCACATTGAAATAAACTCTAAATAACAATAATACATCTGATTATAAAACTGAATACAAATGTAAAAATTCATTTTAAAAAGAGACAGTACAGCCCTGGCTGGTTTGGCTCAGCGGTTAGAGTGTTGACCTGCGGTCTGGAGAGACCCGGGTTTGGTTCCCACTAAGGGCACGTACCCCGGTTGCAGTTTGTCCCCGGCCCTGGTTGGGTCATGTGGGTGGCAACCATTCAATGTGTCCCTTTCACATCCATGTTTCTCTCTCTGTCTCTTCCTCTCTCTTCCTCCCACTCTATCAGAATAAAAAACAAAAAAATGTCCTTGGGTGAGGATAAAAAAAAAAGAGAGACAGTGTATAATTTAAAAACTAAGACCATTAGCCCGGTTGGTGTGGCTCAGTGGTTAAACATTGACCCCTGCACCAAGAGGTCGCCGGTTCGATTCCAGGTCAGGGCACATGCCCAGGTTGTGGGCCAAATCCCCAGTGGAGGGCATGCAGGAGGTGGCCAATGAATGTTCTCTCTCATCAATGTTTCTATCTCTCTCCCACTCCCCTCCTCTCTCTCTAATATCAATAAAGAAAAAAAATTATTTTAACTAAGAGCATTATAGTATTTGGGAAAAAACCTTGGGTTATATTAACAAATACTAAAAGAGTGATAAATAAAAGTGTGCTAAATTCCTCATTTTAAATAGGTAGTAATCAACAGATGCAGTTTTGCTCTTGAATATGACTGAGGTTTAAAAATTTTTTGATCAACTTAATGGTAATTACTAAATAAAACTTAAATAACCCCCTGAAACAGTAGGCAATTCAAAACCAAATAACAAATCTAACCCGTACACCAAAAGGCAGAAAACAAAGGAAACAAAAAAACAAAAGCAAATTAAAAAACACCACCACCAATAATACTCAAAGAGCAGAACAACAGAAAAAAGAAGAAATTATGAATCTTATGAAAATGACTGTTAACGGGTGCACCTGCTCCGAAAGAGAAAGACAATCAGATGGCCCCTAAGCCGGACACACACATGCACTCTCTCGCTTAAAAAGTGATTCCCAGAAAAGTTAAGTCAGAGGCAAATTCGGAAAATATATTAAAAAAAAAAATCAAATATAACTGTATTAGCACAAACATAAAATTAAAGCCCTTCTCCCCCAAATTAAAGGCACTAACTATGAAAAGAGGATTATTTCACATCTCTATTTGTCAATAAATGTGCATTACTTTTATGATAAAAATCAAAAGACATGATATTAAAATGAAAACTAATATATGACAGAGAACACATTTATATTACTAAAACTGAAGCATAAATAGGGGGATTCAGGTGTAAAATAAGCCACCTAATTAAAAATTAAGGTAATTAAATAAAAGATGGGAGTTAGGGAAAGAGAAGGCATAGAAAGTTTCCTATACTCAACGCAGTTTCTTGTATTGCTGATCTTTTGATTCACATCCAACTTACCCAATAAAGCTGCCCAGTGAAGTGGGGTTCGAAATAAGTTATCATAAGATGTTATATTGCAGCTTTCATATGAGGTCAAGACATCAACCACTGTCACGTTCCCGTCAGCGACCGCAAAGTGAAGAGGCGTTCGGCCCTCATAGTCTTGCCAGTTCAGTAAAGACTCCGTTGGAGCAGCATCCTATTTTTAAGGAACCAGAGACTTCAGACACACATAGAATCCTCAGTAAAACACACCTGACATAAATATTAACTGAGTAGTTTTCAAAACTTCTGTGTTCTCTATCAGCACAGTAAAGTGATAACATTCAGAAAAAATGCTGTCTGTATCTTTGAATTTTATTTAATCATAAAAAGTACAGAAAAGAGCCTGGTTGGTGTGGCTCAGTGGTTGAGTGTCGACCCATGCACCAAGAGGTCGCCAGTTGAATTCCTGGTCAGGGCGCATGCCCAGGTTGTGGGCCTGATCCCCAGTGGGGGGCATATAGGAGGTGGCCAATCGATGTTCTCTCTCATTGATGTTTCTATTTCTCTCTCCTTCTCCCTTCCTCTCTCTAAAATCAATAAAGAAAAAAAACTTTTTTAAGTACAGAAAAGATACAATAAACACCATAGACTGACTATCCGGATTGGATAGGTATCAATATTTTGTGCTTTTTTTCTGTTATGGATTGAGCTAAAGCTGTATGTTCTGTTCTTTTGCTACCTACATATACATCCATAAACAATTCATAAATTGTATGTGTTTTTAATATTTACACTTATGCATTATACTCCATATGTCCTTTGGCAATTGTTTCTTTCAACACTATACTTTGGGCTATCTATGTTGATACTAGTTTATTTGTTAAACCACAATGTAGTTACCCATTTTCCTACTGAGGGATACTTAGGTTATTTATATTTTCCCATTAACAATAATGTGACAATGAACATATTTCCTTTACATGTCCTCTTGCAGCACATATGTGAGCTTTTTCTCTAGACCAGAAACTGAGAAGGGGAATTAGTGGACTGAAGGATATCTGTATCTTCAACTAGTCACTGTTAAGCTGTTCTCCCAATGGTTGTATCAATGAATACATCCATGAGAATGTGTACAAGTTCTTTTCTCCTCAAATGTTAGCACAAATTAACCATCTGGTATTGTCAAGCTTACTACATTCTCCCCCTTATAGGTATAAAAGGCATTTCACTTGTGTTTTAATTTATATTTCTTTTATAAATGAGGTTGAGATTTTCAATCATAGGTTTATTGGCAATTTGGTTTCATTTCTCTGTCAATTGACAGTTCATAACATTTATTCATTTTTCTACTGGATCTTTGTAGCAGATATTACGAGGCATTGCTTAGGTTCCCTTCAAGACTAAAGAACTTATTTCCCCAGCTGCTGGTGCTGCTACCAGCGGCATTAGGAAGGTTGAGAACCACTGGAAGGCAAGAGTAAAGAGAATGAAAAAGAGGCAACATTTAAAGAGATAATGGCTGCATATTTTCCAGAACTGAGATGCCATAATCAGAATGTATACCAACAGGGAGAAAAAAAAAAAAAGTCACACCTAGACACACCGTAGCACAACTGCAGAATGCCATATGGAGAAGAATTTAAAAGCAGCCTGAGAAGAAAGATAATTCCTCTATAAAGGAATGACAATTAGACCAACAACAGACTCTTGAAGAGGAACTACAAAAGACAAAAAGCATCAGAATAATAGACTGAGTAGAGGAAAGTAACTATCTAGACTTGTGTATACAGGAAAACTACATATTCAAGAGCAACATGGAGATGCAGACATTCTTAACAATTATAAATGAAGTTTACCACCAACAGATCTACACTAAAAGAAATATTAAGAATTATATTTCAGTCCCTGGCCAGTTTGGCTCACCGGTTAGAGCGCTGGCCCGTGGACCAAAGAGTCGCAAGTTCGATTCTGGTCAAGGGCATGTACGTCGGTTGAGGTTTGTCCATGTCCCTGGTCGGGGTCGTGCAGGAAGCAACCAGTCGATGTGTCCCTCTCAGATCAATCCCCGCCCCCCCCATTCCCATCTATCAGAAGATAAATGGAAAAATGTCCTTGGGTGAGGATTAAAAATATGTATATATATATATATATTTCAGGAAGATAACTCTAGAAGGAAATATATTCAAGAAGAAAGGCAGAGCAAATAAATTAGTCAACATGCAAATAGAAATAATCATTGCATACACAAAATAATCTTTTCAAGTCTAATTTGTGTGTTGCATGAAAATAGTACGATGTAAATTGAAATTTGGTGAGGAGTGATTAGAAAACCTCAAAAACAGTCTACTGCTAAACACTCAAAATTAATAAGTATAGCAAGTTGGTTAGATATATAATTAATAAACTAAAATATCAATTGCATTTCCATATATGTGCAACAACCAGTTAAATATATACACATAGACATGCTAAAAAAATTTCAAAGCATATATATATATTTCTTAATCCTCACCCAAGGACATTTTTTCATTTTTTGTTCAGACAGAGCGAGAGGGAGAGAGAGGAAGAGAGAGAGAGAGAGAAACATCGTCGTGAAAGGGACACATCAAGTGGCTGCCACCTGCACGACCCAACCAGGGCCAGGGACAAACTGCAACCGAGGTACATGCCCTTAGTGAGAACTAAACCCGGGTCTCTCTGGACCGCAGGCTGACGTTCTAACTGCTGAGCCAAACCGGCCAGGACAAAGCATATATTTTTTTTGTAAATAGCAAAAAACTAGAACTAGTTCTAAATGTCTGTCAATAACAAAATGAATAATGTGTGGTTTATTCATAAAATGGGATACTATGTAGCAGTTAAAATTAATATATTACAGCTACACACAGCAATATAGATAAAATCATCAGCATAATGTTGAGCAAAAAGTCATGTTGCAAAAGAATACATACAATATGATTTCATGTATATAAAATTCAACAACATTACAAATTAACACTGTTCAGGGATACAAACATATGTGGGGAAACTAATGAAAACAGGGGGAATGATAAACCCAAGACTGAAGCTAGTGGCTGCCTCTGGGAAAGGAGAGAAAAGAATGGTACTGGGAGGTAGCCAGGGGACTTGAAAGGTAATGGTAATGTACTTTTTCTTAAACTTAGTGATGAGTACATGAGTATTTGTTGTCTCCTTATTCTTTATATCTTACATCTATTTTACAAATATTCACTTATATCTATTCACTATTTAATAAAAAGAAGTATAAAACGAAGTCAGGGAAGGATCAATATAAATTTTAAAAAGTAGTTGATGGGGGACGGGAATGAGCATGGAATAGGGAGAGAATACATTTGGAAATTGGCACATAGAAAACTTCTATGTGGTCTTAAATAGTGGTATTAAAATGTTCTATTTCTTGGGTGATGTGTTCACGTTTGTCATATTCTTTTGCTTCATAATTTGCTTGTGTGTCATATATTGAATATGCTTTTGTGTATATTTCATAAAAATAAAATTGGCGGGGGGGGGGGGGCACCCAGGTCTAGCAGGAGCACTGTACTCACCAGAAGGCATCGCACTGTCTGAACAGCGCTTGGGTCCTTGTGGTTGGCTGCCCAGTGAAGTGGGATCTTGCCTTCGACATCGGGAATCCCGATGTTGGAATCATGCTTGATAAGCAGCTTCACGTGCTCAGGGTTGTTGTAGTAGGCACTCCAGTGCAGAGCTGTTTGCTGCAAAATTGAGATTCTCAGAATAACAACAGTAACAATAACAGCATGACAAATTTTCCCCAGGCTTTTACTGTGTAGCAGGCACTTTTGTAAGAGTTTCATATATTTTATATCATGTAGTCATCATGACAATTCTGGGAGAAAGTACCCTTGAATTTGCACATGATTGATAAGGAAACTGAGCACAAGAAGGATAAGTAATCTGCTCAAGGACATAAAATAGTAAGTGGCCAAATTGAGATTTTAACCCAGGCATTCTGCCTCCAAATCTGTCTTCTTCATCATGGCAGGCATTTAGGTGATAGGTACTAAGAAATGATACTACTACTGAGCAAGGGAAAGGTAGCTCAATAATTTATGAATAATTATCAATAAATTAAGTGATGATCTTGATACTGCACTAAGCACCTTAAGAATTTGAGCCCTGGCCGGTTTGGCTCAGTGGGTAGAGCGTTGGCCTGCGGTCCGGAGAGACCCGTGTTCGGTTCCTGCTAAGGGCACGTACCTCGGCCCTGGTTGGGTTGTGCGGGTGGCAGCCACTCGATGTGTCCCTTTCATGTCAATGTTTCTCTCTCTCTCCCCCTCTCTTTCCCTCCCACTCTATCTGAACAAAAAATGGAAAAATGTCCTCTGGTGAGGATAAAAAAAAAAAAGAATTTGATACAATGTTTTGAATTTTATTATCTATCAAAAAGAAGATCCATGCATAGGAAATCATAGATCTGGAATGCTTTTCTTATGTCAAATAATTCATTTACCTATAGGATTACATGTTAAATTGTTAGACCTAGTTACTGATGAAAGATACATCTTTAAAATACAGCAAGATTTGCTTTATTTCCGATAAAAGTTAAAATGAAAATCCTGAGTGTGTTGACATTGCTTTAAACTCTTTTTTGCATTCTCATCAACAACATACCATAGTAAGACTACTTTCTCTACCAAGAGATTATTAAGGAGACACATAGAAACTGTTTAGCTATACATTATCACTTTCAAGTAGCATTGTCATCAGCCAGTCTATAATTAGATCGTTTAACAGCAGGAATCAAACTCATTTGTCACAATAAACACTATATAAATATGAGGTATTCATTCAAAGTGTTCCTGTAGGCATTTAATATAGTCACTATTTAACTTACTACCTTTTATTTAGTAATAACTACAGAACAAAAAAATCACAAGTACCATAGTACAGTGATACCTCGGTTCTCGAACATAATTCGTTCCAGGAGGACGGTCGAGAACCAAATTGTTCGAGAACCGAAGCAATGAAACCCAATAGGAAATAATGGAAACTGGATTAATTCGTTCCAAGCCCCAGAAAATGCCTATTTACTGGCCTAATTTGTATATAATATGTAGAAAAACATAAGTCTCAACAAGAAATAAAAGTGTACAGTATGTCTAAGGGTTAAATTCAGTGTAAAGCGTGACTCTCTCCACAAAGCGTGACTCTCTCTCTGCACTCACACTGATGACACAAGCAAGGCGCGCTGGGCCGAATGAACGCCATTCGGCTCAACTCGGCTCATCTCGGAAGTTCGAGTTCCAAATATTTGTTCGGATTCCAAGACAAAAGTTTCTCGAATCTCCTGGTCGAATACCGATTTGGTCGAAATCCGAGGCGTTCGAGAACTGAGGTATCACTGTAATTAATTGCCTATAGCTAAATTTTCAATATACAACATGTAGTTTTTATAATTCTTTTCTTTTCTCATGGTATATTTGTTCTGAATATATTTATTGAGCTGTAATATTATGTCCATTGAATCTAAGAGTAAAAAGTTTGAGGTTGTATTTTTTATATATTTTTTTTAATTTTTCTAGTAATTCTTTTTTTTTTTTTTTTTACAGTGGTAAAGCTATATACATAACAACATTTACGATTATAACAGTTTTTAAGTGTACAATTCATAGGCATTAAGTACATTCAAATTGTTACACAACCATCAGACCACTCATCCACAATATTTTTCAACTTCCCAAACTGAAACTCATACCCATTTAACAGTAATTTCCAGTTCCCATCTCTTCCCAGCCCCTAGCAACCACTGTTCTACTTCCTGTCTCTATGAATTCGACTATTCTGCATACCTCATAAATGGAGTCATACACTATTTGTCCTTTGTGTCTGACATTTCACTTAGCCTAATGTCAAAGTTTTTCAATGTTGTAGCATGTATCAAAACGTAATTCCTTTTTAAGTCTGAACAATATCCCATAGTATGTATACACTACATTTTGTTTATCTAGACATCAGTCATCCATGGACATTTGGGTTGTTTCCATTTTTGGCTACTCTGAATGTGAACGTACAAATATCTGTCCTAATTCCTGATTTCAATTCTTTTGGGTGCATATCCAGAACGAGTATTACTGGGTCATATAGTAATTCTATGTTTAACTTTTTATGAACTGCCATACTGTTTTCCACAGTGGCTGTACCAATTTACATTCCTACCTGCATTGCACAAGGGTTCAAGTTTCTTTATATCCTCACTAACATGTGTTATTTCTATGTGTCTATATATAATAATAGCATCCTAAAGGATGTGAGGTACTATCTCACTGTGGTTTTGATTTGCTTTTCTTTAATGATTAGTAATGTTGAGCATCTATTCATGTGCTTATTGGCCATTTGTATATCTTCTTTGGAGAAATGTCTATTCAAGTTCTTGGCCCCTTTTTAATTGGGTTGTTCTTTTGTTGTTGTTCATTTCTAATGTATGTAATAAAATTACTGGTCTGAGACAGATCGAAATTAAAGAAACAAACTAATCCTTCCCCTCAGATTCTTTGAGAATCACTGCTCTGGGCGTCTGACTTACTCTCTTCTCTGTGCCTGCTTGGACTGGATAACCCTCCATCCCTGTTCAGTACAGAAAAATATACAGATACTGGAAGACAGCAGGAAGTTTCCAGAACGTTTGGGGAAGACATTATAAACCCAAAGGCATTCGTAGCTTCTTAAGTGATTAATGGTCTTTGTGGATTTACCGAAGTGCTTTTTTCAGTCAGGGCGCTTTTTTCAGTAAAATATGAGCACTGTGGAAATGCTATGGTTTATAGTATGCTGTAAAACAAAGTTGATTATAGAACTCTGGGTTATGTGAGTGACTACTAAACAAAATCCGAAAACTACATAAAGAACACTAGGAGAGCGAAAGGATTATTGAATATAAACATTGTGGACTTAATCATAAGTTTTAATTACTTGGGAGTGTAGAGTTAGCAAGACTCTATAATTAAGTGCCTGGTGAAAATGAAGAGCATTATTGCACTTGTCTAAATAAAGACCACATTTTTCCCTGAAAAAAATGATCAGAGCGCCCTGGCCAGTTTGGCTCAGCGGTTAGAGTGTCAGCCCAGAGAGACCCGGGTTTGGTTCCCGCTAAGGGCATGTACCTTGGTTGTAGTTTGTCCCCGGCCCTGGTTGGGGTTGTGCGGGAGGCAGCCACTCGATGTGTCCCTTTCACGTTGATGTTTCTCTCTCTCTCTCCCCCACCCCCCACTTTATCTGAACAAAAATGGAAAAATGTCCTCGAGTGAGGATAAAAAAAAAAATGATCAGAGCAATAACTAGTCAATCAAAACAATGACCAATGTGTACAATATGTTAAAATTCAAGAGCAGGGAAGACAGTGGATCCCAGCAACGAAGGACAGAGTGGGTATTAGAACCTAAATGAAATGAATACTATTTCAAAGTTAATATCTATTGAGTGTATACTCTGCACTGGGCATTGTGCTAAACACTATATATATATATATATACATATGATCTTACTTTCTCTTCAACACCCTCTTCTCCCTTTCTACATGTGAAAAAATTGAGGCAGAGAAGTAATTTGCTCAAGGACACAGAACAAATAAGTGGCAACTTCTAGACTGAAATCCAAGAAGTTTGATGTCAAGGCCCAGGCCATTCAACAACTATGCACTTAGAACACTGCCCTGGGCATCGGCCATCACAAATCTAACCACCACGGTCACTGTCACAACCACCTGTTAAATAACGAGTTTCCTTCTGAATTCTAGTCCTGCCACTTGGATCTTGGACAGAATTTTAATCTTCTCGAGTTTCTATTTCCCCATCCATGAAAAGGAGGTAATACCACCCACCACACATGGTTGCTAGGAGGATAAAATGACAGACTGCAGGTGAAATTCTTTACTAGGGCATATGGAGACTTGGAACTGCTCTACCAGGCGTCTTAGTGGTCATTTAGCCTTGAGGTTGCAAATGATAAAAGGAAGCATCTGCTTTCTGCTCTAACGTGTCTTTGATTTTGGTGGTCCGTTACCTTGTTTTTATCCTGTGTATCCACTTCTCCTGGTGCCATAAACTTCAGCAGAAGTGCTAAACACTTGGGGCTCTTGTGCCGGGTGGTCAAGTGCAAAGGAGTCATCTCTTCCAGATCCTTCTGCATCCAATTTGCTCTACGTGTGAGTAAGAGTTTCATGAAACGGTAATTTCCCTAAATAAAAAGCAAGAGATGGTAACAAGGAATGTAGTTGGGGGCCAAACATATTTTTTAAATTTTAATGTGTTTCAAGTATTTTAATTATTCTGCTATAGTAATAACATTCAGAATAATTAATAAAAGGACAAATACTTATAGTTCTACTACTCAATCAATTATTTAACTTTCTCATGTTTCCTTCCAACCCCTTTCTACAAGCATGTAGTTTACATAGTTCCTGTTCAATATCTCATTGTGTAAAAGCAACATACTTTATTTAACCATTTTAATATTACTTCCAGTATTTTCTTTATAGAAACTGCTATAATGTATACCTTTTTTCACAGTTTTTTCTTAAACTTTTTTCATAAGAATAAATTATCAGGAACCAAAGGAGTTTGTACATTTTATGTGTACCTGTGTGTTCTCCAAATTGCTATCTAGTCGCAACAACAAGTATATTAGTTTTAGCATATTCTGACCAATAGAGCACATATTATTTATATGAAAGTATAACAACTTGTGAAATAAGCAGAGATTTTAAACCCCAATTTACAGGTGAGGAAAGTGAGATTCAAAGGTGTTCAATGTTTTGTTCACAATCATCTGGCTAATAAGGAGGAGTTGGTTAGTTTTTTTGAAGACAGCTATTTACAGGTACAACTAAAATAGAAGCACCTTGTTCAAACTTTGGGTCCCTGAGACATATGTCACCTAATCACCAACCCAGAAGTCACTATAGGCCATCCAATTGCAGGCAATGCCCTCCAAATCCTCCGATCTGGTAGAAGCAACTCCTCTGGAAAAAGAAACATCTGCAAGGGCGAGAGCAATGCACCACGGGGGTCCTGGTCAACCACAGAGCAGTCTCCCCTTATCTGAGGCTTCACTTACTGCGGTTTTCATGACCAGTGGTAAACTGTAGTCTGAAAATCTTAAATGGAAAACTATAGAATAATTCTTTTTTTCTTTATTGATATTAGAGAGAGAGAGGAAGAAGGAGAAACATCGATGAGAGAACATCGATTGGCTGCCTCCTGCATGTCCTCCACTGGGGATCAGGCCCACAACCTGAGCATATGTCCTGACTGGGAATTGAACTAGTGACCTCTCGGTGCATGGGTCTACGCTCAACCACTGAGCCACACCAGCCGGGCAGAGATAAACTATTCTTAAGTTTTAAATTAAGTGTAGTTTTGAGTAGTGTGATGAAATATTGTGCCATCCAACTCTGTCCTGCCTTGGATGAGAATCATCCCTTTGTCTGGTGTGTCAAGAATTATCCCTTTGAAAAAAGAAGGGTACTGGCACAAGAACAGGCATATAGATCAATGGAATAAAACAGAGAACCCAGAAATTGACCCAAAACACTATGCTTAATTAATATTTGACAAAGGTGGCAAGAGCATACAGTGGAGTAAAGACAGCCTCTTTAATAAATGGTGTTGGGAAAATTGGACAGCTACATGCAAAAAAATGAAACTAGATCATCAACTTACACCATACACAAAAATAAACTCAAAGTGGATAAAATATTTAAATGTGACCCGTGAATCCATAAAAATTCTAGAGGAAAATGTAGGCAACAAAATTTTGGACATCATATACAGAATTTTCACTGATACATCACCTAAGGCAACAGAAACAAAGGAAAAAATGAACACATGGGACTACATCAAACTAAAAAGCTGCTGCACAGCAAAAGAAACAACCATCAAAATGGAAAGGCTACCCACTGTATGGGAGAACATCATTGCCAATGATGGATCAGATAAGGGGTTAATTTCCAAAATATATAGAGTACTCATACAACTCAACAAAAGGAAGACAAAGAACCCAATTAAAAAATGAGCAGAGGAGCTGAATAAACACCTCTCCAAACAAGACACACAAATGGCCAAGAGACATATGCAGAAATGCTCAACATCACTAATCATCAGAGAGATGCAAATTAAAACAACAATGAGGTATCACCTCACACCTGTCAGAATGGCCACCATCAACAAATCATCAAACAAGTGTTGGTGAGGGTGTGGAGAAAAGGGGACTCTAGTGCACTGCTGGTGGGAATGCAGACTGGTGCAACCACTATGGAAAACAATATGGTGTTACCTCAAAAAATTAAAAATTGAACTTCCATTTGACCCAGTGATCCTGCTTCTAGGAATATACCCTAAGAAGCCTGAAACACCAATCAGAAAGAATATATGTACCCCCATATTCATAGCAGCACTATTTACAATAGTTAATTTCTGGAAACAGCCCAAAAGTCCATCAGTAGACGAATGGATAAAAAAGCAGTGGTACATATACACAATGGATTACTATGCAGCTGTAAGAAAGAAAGATCTCTTATCCTTTGAGACAACATGAAGGGACCTGGAGAGTATTATGCTAAGTGAAATAAGCCAATCAGAGAAAGACAAATACCACATGATCTCACTTATTTGTGGAATATCATTAACTAGGTGGGCTGATGAACAAAATAGACCCAGAGACATAGAAAGGAGTATGGTTCAGACTTACAAACCTCAGAGTATGGGGGTGTGGGCAATGAATGAACTGAGCCAAAGAACTTATATGCGTGTATATATAACCAATGGACATAGACAACAATGCTAGGGCGGTAGGGGTGGTTGGGATGGGGAGGAGGGGGTCTAGGGGGGAAAAGAAGAAACGTGTAACAAAAATAAATTAATAAAAATTGGAGAGAGGAAAAAAAAAAGAATCATCCCTTTGTCTAGTGTATCCATGCTGCAAACCCTACCGCTGGTTAGTCATTTAGTAACTATCTTGGTTATCAGAGAGAGAGAGAGAGGAACCATATTCACATAACAGTACATAGTTCTTTTGAGGTCTTTCTGAAGATGCTTAGTACTGCAGATATTTCAAAGTCAACATGACCGAACTGTACTGCATGGTCAAGTTCTCTGCCTACTTCATGCCTATTTATCTCTCCCTATTCAAAGCAAGGTGAGCAGGGCTATCTGTCCTTTTCATCTTCTGAGATCCTCTCCATCCTTAATCTTATTGGAAATTTGGCCATTTAGGATTATAATGCACTGACGTTCTACTATGAGGGACAGTCAGTATAAGAAAGGAAAGACTTTTTTTTAATACTCACCTGAGGATATTTTTCCATTTATCTTCAGATATAGTGGGAGGGAGGGAGAGAGAGAGACAGAGATAGAGATGGAGAGACAGAGAGAGAGAGAGATCAATGTGAAAGGGACACATTGACTAGTTGCCTCCCCCACGACCCCGACCAGGGCTGGGGCCAAACTGCAACCGAGGTACGTGGCCCTTGGCTGGAATTGAACCTGCAACTCTTTGGTCTGCGGGCTGACACTCTAACTGCTGAACCAAACTGGTCAGGGCAAGGAAGACACCTGTTAATTAAGCAGGCCTCCTCACCCAGGGTGAAGACTGTGAGGCTCTAAGGCAGAGGGGACCAGTTAGAGCAACAATGAGGTGCAGCAGGAGGAAGAGAGCTGCCAGCTTGTCCTCAGGGGCACAGACAGGGTTCAACCCAGCTGAAGAACCGGGGCAGAGATAAGAAAGAACACGACAGGAAAAGGGGTCCACAGGACTGTCTACAGCAGATGGGCACACGGAAAAGGGGTCCACAGGACTGTCTACAGCAGATGGGCACACGGAAAAGGGGTCCACAGGACTGTCTACAGCAGATGGGCACACGGAAAAGGGGTCCACAGGACTGTCTACAGCAGATGGGCACACGGAAAAGGGGTCCACAGGACTGTCTACAGCAGATGGGCACACGGAAAAGGGGTCCACAGGACTGTCTATAGCAGATGGGCACACAGAAAAGGGGTCCACAGGACTGTCTACAGCAGATGGGCACATGGAAAAGGGGTCTTTAAGACGGTCTATAGCAGATGGGCAGACTTGAATAGACTGAAAAGTGAACTGACTCCGCTCAGTTACTTCCTCTCAGAGAGGCTTGTCCTTGACCACGTGGCCTAAGGAGACCACCCTAATTTTGTTCTTTATTCTTGCACCCTTTCATATCATTCATATTCCTTTTCTCAATTTATAATGATATATATATTTGTTTGTCTTCCTGCACTGTGATTTCCCTCACAATCTATAAGCTACAGAAACTATGTTTCAGTGACCACTGTGTTTGGCACAGTTCCTGGCATTAAATAGGTATTTAATAAATATTACTTGAGCCTGGCTGGTTAAGGGCTCAGTGCATCAGGAGGTCGCCGGTTCAATTACCAGTCAGGGCACATGCCCAGGTTGTAGGCCCAGTCCTCATCGATATTTCTAGCTCTCTCTCCCTCTCCCTTCCTCTCTCTCTAAAAATCAATAAAGAAAAAGATTAAAAATTAAATAAATATTACTTGAGGGAATGAGGAAGTGAAATGTCTTCTAGAGGTTTTGTTTTTATTTAAAAATTCTTACAGTTGCTACAGTAGAACATAACAGTTAAAAATCTTAATTCTCAGATATCTTACATTTTGTTACTTTTTAATGTTTCATGTATCTTAGCCTCATTCATAGTGGGCATCATTTATCAGGAATTCTCATTTCATCTAGTGTCAACTTTTGAAAAGGAAGGTGCTAGAATTTCCTCAAGAGGGCACCCTGCTCTAAATCTCGGCCATTTGTATTTTGAAAAAAAGTAAAAGTGTCCAGGAAAAACAAATCTATGTGGTGCTTCACACCAAAAAATAAAGGTTGATCTTTCTAAGCATAACATTTCAAATATTACAGAATAATTCATCATGACCTTTTAAAGATATTCAATCAGACAATCATTTTGATTCTGAAATTCAGAGGAAAGGGGAAGGAAAAGGAAGCTAGAATACGTTGAAAGGGTGACTACTAATTTACAGACACAGTGCCTCGCATATTTACATTTTACACTATTCTGGGGATTCTACCTACGTGGTACATCTCAGTGGTAACTGATTTACCCACTCATTCAACAGTTATTGAGCCCTTTTCTGAAGCAGGCAACAGTCAATGTTTGCACTTCACTACAAACA